GGAAGGGTTTTTTTTGGCATAAGAATGCTTGGTCTGTATCAATTCAGGCACAGCATTTTGCCTGTCCCGTCCCGTCCCGTCCCGTCCCATCCCATCCCTGCCACCACATCCCCTCCCTCCCACCCCATCCCATGGGTGACACCGTGTCCCATTCCTGCCACCACCTCCCGTCCCTGGAGCAGGTGTCCCCTGCCACCAACATCCCACCCCTGGTGGATCCCGCTCACCTGGGGAGGAGTGCTCGGAGAGCTGGAAGAGCATGGCCGGCGTGGGCCTCCGCCGGCGGATCTGGGGCACAGCGGGGTGTCACCGGCCGGCTGGGGACCCCCAGGACCCCCCGTCCCCTGCCCTGCACCCCAGGACCGAGACCCCCATGCACATGCCTGCACACGTGTGAGCGTGCGTGCAAGCGTGGGTGCAAGGACACACACCCAGCCGGGGCACATGTTGGGGGACACCCAGCCCGGGGCAGGGGACAGGGACACTGGCTGGGGTGGGGGTCCCCGGAACGGGGGTCCCTGCTGAGCCAGCGCCACCAAAAGGCACAGAGCCCCACAGAGGGACCAGGGCCCCATCCCGGGGTCCCCACGGCACCCCCGCTCCCTTCCAGCCCCACAAGAGCCCCCCCGTTCCTGCCTGGCCCCTCCGTGGGGGGCTCGGGGTCCGGCGTGTGCTGGGGACGTCCCCTCGGGCTGGGCACAACGGGCTGGGGGTGGCTGCGTTGTCCCCCAGCGTGTCCTGTCCCCTCCGTCCCATCCATTCCTTCCCCTCCCATCCCTGTCCCCATCCTGTCACCTCTGTGTCACCCCTGTCCTCCTCGTGTCCCCTCCATCCCATTCCTTCCCTTCTCTCCTGTCCCATCCCTGTCCCGTCCCTGTCACTGTCCTGTCCCCCCCTCTACAACTCTCCTCCCCCCTCACACGGGGACCTTGGAGCTCTCTGGTCCCCTCCCCATCTCTCTCCTGTCCCATCCCGTGTCCCCCATCCCGTCCTGTCCCCTCTGTCCCTCCCGTCCCCTCTGATCCCCCCCTCCTTGTCCTCCTCTCCCCATCCCACCCCACTCCTTCCTGT